ATAGATGTGGTCGAGTCCTAGTCGAAATAGGTCGAAAATACCGAAAAAAAAGGAAAAACGCGTAAAACGCGTATGGGACCCGTCCAGACTCACACGACTCGTGTCATGGGACACACGAGTCGTGTGAAAATGCCGAGAGCTCGATTTGCGACCCGTCGGAACGACACGAGCCGTGTCCACGCCCACACGACCCGTGTGAAACTGGGCGTCCAAAACAACATTTTCGGGGCTGCTCTCGAATCATGGCGCGTTCTACGGAGTCTTAGGCTTCTTCCGGTGGTCGTACATGGCATCTAGGTGGTTGGAAGACGTCCAGGTCGCCGGACATGGAGGTTCCCGTCGTCGGACGTCAACATGCGTGCACTTCCTCCGGCGTAGACGGCGACCATCTTCTTCTTCTGGATAACAGAATGGAGACGGCGATCTGAAAGTGTTCTCCGGTGGCTGGGTAGTGGCGTGGTGACGCGGTGAAAGCTTGGTCGAGCGCTTCAATGGCGGATGTATGAAAGCTGGGAAGAAGGTACGTGAATTTTGGGAGAAGAAGATCCATAATCTCCAGTGCAATGACATATATGCCCTTACTTAACTTGTCAATTGGGCTGAATTGTACTGATCTTTGGGCCTGGCCTGATTTTATGATATATAAGTTGGGCCACTATGAGGATATGGGGCTGCAAATCTCCCAGCAAGTCTTGTTTTTGGGCTTGTCCCAATGCACGCTCGCACTCATTTTATGTTCGTTTCACACCGTTTTAAACTCCAAAAATTATTTCGAACCTATTTCCTGTTAAACTCAAAATAAAACACTTCATCATAGCTTAATAGAATTAATTAAATATATAATTAATTATATAATAATTAATTAAATAATAACTAATTATATATTCACTACGACGAAACGGACACGAAAATCAATATAAAATGCACGTAAATTTGACGCATGTCAAATCCCCCAAACTTAACCATTGTTCGTCCTCGAACAATAAATAAGCAAAAACAAACCACGTGCATGAAAAGTGATTTCAAACAAGA